TCACTGTCTTGAATTCTTCCTCGCCTGCATGCTTTCAGACATCCTTCCCATCTCTGCCTTCTCTTCCATTTCCAACCACGCTTTGGTTAATAAAAGCAGAGGGAGGAGTTGAAAGGGAAGCTGTTCCTGCCCAGGTCACAGGCAACAGGAATGATACAGACGCAGAAGGAGATCTGCAGACCCTGAAGAAGAGGACTCAGGGCTGGGTACACAGAGACCGTCCACTTGGTCACACAAGTCAACCCCTCGGTGAGGAGGGACTGGAATTTCACAGCTCAGTATTCCCAAGGCTAGGGAGGAAGCACCGGGGTGAGCTGTGCATGTGACTCCTTAGGGGACTCTCATGTCACCACTGGTACAACCCCTACCCCTCCCCCGCCCAGGCCGGAGCAGCATAGTGCAGTGAGGTCCAGTAACCTCAGGGACACCTCCCAGTCAGGGGCCAACTTCTCAGAAAGCTCCTCTGGCCTCTCTTCCCATGGCCCTACGCTGAGCCATTTGTTCTGACAGGATCAGAATGTGGACTGTTAATTTGGGCTTTATCTTCCATGAAGTCTAAATTCAGGAGCAGGGCAGCCCTGCCCTGGAGCACGCAGGCCCTGTGCAAGGCCAAGCCACCTTGGGAGGGGGGCGGCCTCGCCGGCTTGGTGCTTCTCTGAGGTGCCAACGTGTGAACTCTTTGCTTTGCTATCACTTTTGAATTTCCAGTGAAAAGAGGAACACAAAGGTGGATTAAGCAAGATTCAATTAGTTAAATGTATATTTAGTAAAAGGCAGAAATGAAAACTGATCATCTTAGCAAAAAAAAAAAAAAAGTATAAATCCTATGCAACAAAAGTTCCAAGAATGGGTCAGAGTATCTTGTTGGAGGTCACACAGCTGGAAAGTGACTGAGTGAACTGGAATCGGGTCTGCCCACCTCCAACGTCCAGGCGCTTGGCCTCTGTGCTTAACGCTTCTGTTTAGGGATGATTCCAGTTAAGTCCAGAAAAGTACAGCTTGAAGTTCCAGGATGGAACACGAGGACCGTGAAGGCCAGTTTTCGTGCCAGCAGGACATAGACAGCTCGCTGGATGCAGAGTGGACAGCCAGGCTGATAGGTTTTCCTCCCTGTGGACGCTACTCTTTGTACTACTGTCACCTGTCCTCCTTCCTCCTGGACCCCTCATTGCACACACCTGTCAAAGAGGAGACAGTTATGAGTTTCCTGTGCCCCTGGGGGAGACCACAGTCCTATCCTGTCTGTCCTCAGCATCCACAAGGGTCTCCAGAATGACAGGTTCACTGCTGGCATTTTAAGAAGTCATTAACGCCTCTTAGGAGTGATTAGAATCTTTTGCAACAAACAGCCCTGAAATTTGATGATTTAAAATATTAATATTAATAATAATCAACCAGCCATAAGTAACGGAGTGCCTATTAACAGGCCATGCATGTGACTGCAACATGTACAGTWGCAAAATACTATGGTGACAGTGACAACCCATTCTGTCTTCAGTTTTTTTTTTTTTTCTCTCATGATTAGTTAAAAAAAAAAAAAAGTTTCCGAGTGGTTTCCATACATAAGTGGTGTTCTCTCCTCAGTAATTCCACAGAACACATGTATTCTAATTGCCTGAAGACTCTTCAATGTCTCTGAACCCCAAGTCCCAGATCTATTCCTCATAATTTTGAGCTCTCTTACCGACATGGTCACTATGGGGGAAGGTGACAGGTGAACAAACGAGAGAAAYAGAAGGGAACCAATGCTGTTGTTTGCTGGTGTTCATGCACCTAGGAAAGAACAACCCAAACTACCAAAATCATGTTTCTGGATCAATCGCTCATAGAAAACTCCTCCGGGAGACGCCCCATTATCCTGATAAACATCTCAGGACGTCAGTCCCAGAGGACCCTAGAAGACAGCAGGGCAAGGCCAAGAGAAGGCATTTCTGGTACATCTGTGGGCTCACCGATGCTCTTCACTTGGTCACTCTTTGTGCATTCATGGAACTGTCRACCATTTAGGGCACGCCGAGTGCAGGGACTATTCAGAGGGAACAACTCAGATGTTCTCCACTGTTCTCATGAAGCCCACTATCAATGGGCACCATTATTTGCCGGAGGGATTTCACCTTGATGCCAGTCCAGCGGGACGGGGAGCTTGCTTCATGACAGTATCAGAGAGAGTGGCTTCAGTTGCTGTCATAATTGTCCACACCACACAGCTTTGAGCTTCCCCCATCAGTCTGGGTCCCCTGGCCCAGCTCCCTTCTCTGGGCAGATCTCTTCCTGAGAACCTCTTCTCCATTCCCTGAATCTCTCCACTTCTGAATCTTCCGTCTTCATTCTCCTCCACTCCYCTGGCTGGGCCTTCTCATTGCCTGGAACTGCTCCTCCTCTAAAACCTTGAACAGCCTTCTCYAGTCTCTGAGCCACCTCCGTGACCTTGAACTTCCCAACGCTCTTCTTTCCCCAAGTCCTTCCTCCTTGAAGTCCCTTTTTCCAGGACTTTTGATTTCCCTTTGTAGCAACCCACCRGCTGGCTTCGCGCAGCCTTGAAACCACTTGGGTTGGTGCCTCAGCTGGAAGCCCTGGTTTTATGATGCCACCCACAATGCAGGCTTTACAACCCCATGCTGACAAGTGGATTAATTTCTCCTGGTCTTTATCTAGGGTCCCTTTTCCTCTGAGTACTTGTTTCAGAGCTTCACTACATTTTAGAAGCTTCTAGCCTAATACAGCCTCCCTGGCTCACATGAGGCGACTTACTGCCCATTTCACCCCCAGACACTGTGACGGTCGGGCAAGTCTCATGCCTTCTGTTTGAGATCTCCTCTGCACCTCTGACTGGTACAGAGTGCTCTCCTCCTGGGTCTCTGTGACTCCCTAGGGTCTACCTCCATTCCACGTCCTCCTACATGCTGTATAGCCAGATCACATGCTCTGACATGCATAACACCCTTTAGTGGCTTTATGTCCTCTGGGATCATGTCCTTTCCAGCTACAGAGGCTTCCTTTCCCTTTCTTAATGTTCTTGACTCTGTCAGTTAAATAAATAAATAAATAAATAAATAAATAAATAAATAAATAAAATATATATATTTGGTGCTGGGGATCGAACCTAGGGCCCTGTGCATGCAAGGCAAGCATTCTATCAACTGAGCTATATCCCCAACCCCTGTAAAATATTTTATTGGGGTAAAGTGCTTTATCTTCCCCTCCCACTTCTTTCACTCAATTGTCCAAGTGAGAGGGGGAGAAATATATTTCCGTATCATGAGACCTGGGCTTGTCTGCTCACAGGTCATACGAAGGCTTTCATCCTTCAAGTGTAAAGTCAGTTGTCCACATCATGCTCCTAAAGGATGGAGCTGAATGCATAGGATCTTGGATTCCAGTTGCCACCTAATTTGGCTTCATCAATAGTAAAGCTGCTATTTTGAGCCTCTGCTAAATTCTGCGTCTGTTACTGCATCGAAACAGAAACTAGAGAGGGAAGAATGTGAGTAATTAGCATTTACAAACCCATTTATAATATATCTTCCAGAACACCACTAAACAATAACCCATGACCCCTGAGCACCAATCAGGCCGTGATCCATTCATTCCAAACCACCTGTCATTCCTTAGATGGATAATGCTGCATTTATCTGCATATGCATTGCATATATTTATATTTTATTCTGACTATCCACTCTACTCACCTTTAACTCCTGCTCTTAGTGAACTCTTCTCCAATTAGCTCCAAGCAGAGGTAATCATTTTTCCCACTGTGTCTGCAAAGCATCTTATACTTTCCAGTCTCACAGTAGTTTTTGCGTGTGATTGCAATTACTCATCCTTATTCTTCTGGTGTGCTAAACTATACCTCATTCATCCATATACTCCCCCTACCTAGCATGTCACCGGGCACTCCAAAAAGGCTGCTCCAAACTTTTTCTTGAACATAAGAGAAGTAAATAAGAAAGACAGGCTTAAAAATGAATGCCTGCAATGAACAAAGCATCGTGTCAAGTGACCTGAGTATTACAAAGAACCTAAGATATTCTACTGTAGAGGGACAATGACCCTGCTTGAAATAGCAGGGGTTGTGTCAGCATRTGACGTTAAATGTTTAACTAATGGAGTTGAATCACTTTTCAAGCTCAGCTAAATAGTACAACAAGGCAGAGGGGCCCTGGCAACACTGAGGGTCTTGCTACTCAATCTCTGTCCATCATAGATGTAAAGAACACTTGAGGGGCTGGGTTGTGGCTCAGCGGTAAAGTGCTTGCCTAGCTAGCATGTGTGAGGCACTGGGTTCGATCCTCAGCACCACTTAAACAGATTAAATAAACAAAATAAAGTTAAAAAAAAAAAGAACACTGGAGCTGAGTTCAGTGATCAGGAAGCCCATCACCACAGGGACCTGTTGCCACTCAGTTTTGAAAGATGGGCACAAGCACAGAGGCAGGGCAGACCTGTTGGACCCTCTGGCCAGCGTGGGGAAGCCGGTGTGAAGGTAAGAAAGCCAACTCTGCAGGTGGACTTCTCCACCCAGACTCTACTATGGCTCCAAGGGGATCTCTGCATTTATGCGATGACCTCTGGCTTCCATATTCTTCAGTCACTTCTTTATGAAATAAATCTAAATTCTCCTACTTMCCCCCCAAAATCATCCTTAGAGACTAGGCATTACCTGACCTTCTAATGAGAGAGGGCCACACTTGGTCACTCCCCTTTTCCTGTGGAAGGGCAAGGGGCAGGAGCAGAGACGGCTGGAGCTAAACTTGCAGCAGAATCAGGACACGACAGACTGGTTTTGTTCTTGTCTTGTTTGTTTGTTTGTTTCAGCATCTTTTTTTGCCGGTTACAGCCCCATTCCTTCATCTAGAACATGCTGAATTCAGCAAGTCCAGCTCTATCATTTCTGTCCCTTGAGTCCACTGGCTTCTGGTCATCTGATACGGCTCTTGCAGCACAGGGGACCWGCCTCTCTTCCTACTCTGAGCACACTTGTGGCCCAAACTGAATGCTGCTGCCTGGGGACTTATTACCAGCCGCRTTTCAGTTCGTCATCTTCGACCCGAGGGATGGCCCCGCTATTCTCCTTGATCCTTGGTGAGTACCTTTGCTTCGGTAGGTCTAGATTTTAGGGTTTTCCGGAAATTTCATTAGGAGAATCTTTTCCCTGCCCAGATTCAAATATCTTTGAAGGATGGCTTTCTCCTTTCTTTCTATACCTATTTTAAGCCCTAAAACCCCCTTGATCCATACCCAATTTATATTTTAATGGCCAGATTTTTTTCTATCGCCCCATAGTTATACCAACAGATAGACATTTTTCCCCTTCCTCTTTTCCATTGTTTCCCCCAAATATACTATTATAAGAAGACAAATGAATGAGATACTAAGTAGCAACAGGTAGAGCAAGGAAAGATGGTACTGCTATAAGACAATCACTTTTCTTTGGCTAGTTTGTCTAATTTCCTCTGAAAGGTGCTTCACATAATGTTTCTCTCATTTTCTCCAGTTTCCTGTTGCCTAGGCGAGTCTACAAATTAGCATGAATGATCTGGAGGCTTTAATCCTGGCCCCTGGATTCCTTCCTTCCTTCCTTGTACTGGGACTATGAACCCAGGGCGTTATGCATGCTGGGCAAGCACTCTGCCACTGAGCTGCATCCCCAGCGCTCCTGGCTCTTCAATTTCTTAGCTTTGTGAATTTGAAGATTACCATATTTCTCTGAAATCTCCCTAATCTATACAGTAAGACTAATGTTATGTTTCTCAGAGGTTTTTTTTTTTCTTTTAAAGGAGATGTTTCATATGATAACTAACACAGGGCATCTTTCCGGGGGCCCCCAGGGCTGTTTTCTGCAGAGCCAAGGGGGTGCATTAGCACACGTCTACTTCAGCAGTTATGGCCCTCCGATCCTCACCTGGGCTGGAAGCAACACCACTGTGGTGGGAAAGGGCCGGGCCAACTGTGACAGAATTGGCCTCTGGCTTCTAGTCGGTGTCCAGTGTTCTCTGAGGGCGGTCATCAAAGGACACTGTGACCCAGGACGAGAAGGTGACAACTGGACRGATCTTGGAGGTTCTCTATCTATTGCCCTAAGTTTGGCAAGGGCCTTCTAGAGAGTTCTATTTTAAAAAATGAAGCCTTGGAAATGTACTCAATGGTCTCACTCACTTCCTCTTTTTTCTCCCCTCAGTCATGTGCGCTGGACCTGGCCTCTTAGGTAAGACTTCGAAGGGGTGGGGTGGGGGGAAGAGTCCTGACGGGGAGGCCTCTAGGATTAGGAGAGGGGAGATGTTGGAGGTTCCTGGGCTATGAAAAGAGACTATGGTCCCAAACAAGCCGAGTACCTTTCTTTTCAGGTTTCCCATCCCACTCTGTCAGTCTTGTGTGGGTGGATTTCCATTCCAGAGCCCAGAATGGTTTGAATGGTTTTTATCCCCACTTGGCCTCTGTGGCCAGAGAAGCTTGGCCAGCATCCAAAAAAAACCGAGATAGCTTCATTTCAAGCCCAGAGGCATTTCACTGGCTGGGGTGTAACTCGGGAATGAACTTCTTGTGCCCTGATGGGTTCCAGCAAATCCAGGTCCTCCTCCCAGACTTCCTGGCACTTTTGAATTAGAAATGCGTCAGCTTCTGTGAAGTTCATGACTTCACCAGTAGAGGGCAGGATGGAGCTCAGCCTCTACCGGCTGCCTCCTGGAGGAATCTGGGCGGTACACACTTGTGCACCCAAGGAGAGCAAGGGAGCGTGGAATGAGTATGCAGGAGTGGAAGGCTGTGACCGTCCAAAGCCAAGGAGGTTGTTTGTGGATTACCAGCTGCTTTTGCACCGTTCCTCCAGTCTGTGCTTTCACTGGATGGTGGTGGCTTTGCCAGAGAGAGAGAGGCAGCTACAAAATCTGCTCTTGGTGTGGCCGATTTTGCCCTGACGGATGGAATTTGATGCCTTAGAGTTCCCCTTCTGGGATCTTGTCCAGAAGCTTAAATTACTTGCTCTTTTTTCTTGGTCTTCAGGGCTGTCCCTCACTGCCAGTGTGGGAGGACAACTGTTTTTGTCACAGCCTCCCCCTTCCCCGGGATGTTGCTCTCCACCTCTGGGTCTCTCTCAAGCTCTGTGCTGATAAAGCAGGCTAGTGTCGGGCACGCCGCTCTGGGGRGCCCTCAACTCTTTCCTTTCACATCTTTTCCCAGCTCTTCTATTTCCTCCAGCTGAATTTCTTTTGTTGTGGTGGTTGTTGTTATTACTATTGCGATCACTGCTTATTTCTTCTTTCCTGGGAACTGCTCTTGTCTACTTCATAGAAACTGAAAATTCAGGCCAGGCGTGGTGGTGGATGCCTGCAATCCCATTGGCTCAGGAGGCTGAGACAGGAGGATTGAGAGTTCAAAGCCAGGCTCAGCAAAGACGAGGCACTAAGCAACTCAGGGAGACTCTGTCTCTAAATAAAATACAAAATAGGGCTGGGGATGTGGCTCAGTGGTCGAGTGGTCCTAAGTTCAATCCCTGGTACCCCAAAAGAGAAGGAAAAAAATGAAAATTMATTGAAAGTGAGAATTTTACAATCCAAAATAAAATGATAACCTGTGTATAATTCTGAAGGCAGCTTCTTTCCGGAGTATACAATAATAACAATCCAAACTCTAATCTAGATCCAATGACCCCAAAGCCATTTCTGGGTGACTCTCTTGAATTATATTTTATTCAGATAAGTAAGCTTTAAATTCAAATGTGTAAAAAGTATAAACCTTTTTTTAAACTTTKTAAAATGATTTTAAATTCTATCTCTAGTTTCTTTTTTCAGTACTAGGGACTGAACCCAGGAGTGCTGTGTCACTGAGATACGTCGCCATCCTTGTTTAATTTTTCTTTTTGGTACTGGGGGATTGAACGCTGGGGTGCTTTACCACTGARWCACATCTTCAGCCCTTTTKAGTTTTTATTTTGAGAGAGGGTCTCACTAAGTTGTTAAGGGTCTTGTTCAATTGCTGAGGCTGGCTTTGAACCTACAATCCTCCTGCCTCAGCCTCCCAAGCTGCCTGGATTATAGGCATGGGCCACTGTGTCCAGCCTTTTCAAAATTTTGAAATTGGGCTGGGGATGTGGCTCAGCGGTAGTGCACTCCCCTGACATGCGTGAGGCCCGGGTTCGATCCTCAGCACCACATACCAACAAAGATGTTGTGTCCGCCGAGAACTAAATAAATAGTAAAATTCCCTCTCTCTCTCTCTCTCTCTCTCTCTCCTGCCTCCGTATCCCAAAATGCTGGGCTTACAGGTGTGTGCCACCCTATCCAGCTTATCTTCATTCTTTATATCCGTCTCCCCAACACCAATTAAGGAAATGAAGCAAAAACAAATCAATAAACCAGACATAAACTTCTCACTGTAGTTTAAAAATCAGTCATATTGGAGTTTTCTCACTTAACCACTCCTCTGGGTTGATTTCATGTTCTGGGGAGTCTGTGTAGAGTTAAGACAGGAAGTGGGAAATCTGCTCCTCAGGAGTCATGTGACCCACATTGGCCCTTATTAAGCTGTTCATATTCCATTAGGGCAGAGACCACAAGTCCAAATGTGACATTTTCTAGAACCCCAGACATGTCTCTCAGTTAATGGTCCCATTACACAAAGCGGTGGCAAATTCAGCTCTCTGCTCTCTTGCTTTGAGGCTACCGTAGACTTGGTGAGATTGTTTTAAGCCTCTAAATATAAGCTCTTTGGGGATAGAAGTCCTCTGTGTCTTGTTCATCACTGTTCTCGGAGTTCATAAAACAATACCCCACGCATGGTAGGTGCTTAGCAAGTATTTAATGTCTGATGAGTTCTTCCCTGGTCACTCGACACAGCCATTTCTCCTCCACTTCTGTGCGGTGGTGGAAGGGAACGAATTTCTCTTCATCTTTTCCAGACCCAGAGTTCTCATTCCTCAGAACTTGTCCGGAGGCTCTGTGGTGCCTCTCTCCCACCTGGACCCCTGAAATCCTCTAGTTCAGTCCTTGGAGTTGATCTGTCCTGGGCTTTCGCTACTGGACAGTGTGACCACCGGATCATCACTTCCATGAGGATCCTTTCCCTCCTTTGTGGAGTCCAGGGGTGGACATGATGATCTCTATGGATTATCCTGGTTCTGACCATCAGAGTCTAACAACTCTGCTGGCTCTTTGACTAATCTTTCCCTTAATCTTCAGCGTGAAAGGCTACCGTCCGGTCTGGGTCCTTGAAGGGGGATTTCTTGGTAGGGTGCAATTAAAGATGCGGTAGAATCAGAACTCAGAAATGGGGTCCCCAAGTGCGTCTCCCTCCCCTTCCCTTCTGACCCCTCCTGTCTAGTCCCCTACTCCCCACACCTTCTGTCCCGGGTGGAAGTGTCCCTGAGCATCCTCTGCCCTCCTCCCGGATCTCCAGCCAACATCCCGTCTCTTTGCAGAGGCATCCAGAGTGCGGCTGGTGGGGGGTCCCCACCGCTGCGAAGGGAGAGTGGAGGTGGAATGGAACGGCCAGTGGGGCACCGTGTGTGACGACGGCTGGGACCTGAAGGATGTGGCCGTGCTGTGCAGGGAGCTGGGCTGTGGAGCAGCCAAGAAAACCCCCAGTGGCCGCTTATATGGGCCATACGCAGATAAAGGGCAGGAAGTCCTCATCCAAGGGGTCAGGTGCAGCGGAATGGAAGACACCCTGGCTCAGTGTGAGCAGGACGAAGATGTCTACGGCTGCTCACACGACGAGGATGCCGGCGCAATTTGCCAGAGTAAGTAGGGCAAGGCTCGAGGGCCCTCTGCCAGCTGCCCGGACCCCGCCCTGGCCACTCTCGTTGGGTTTGATTCCCTGTCGTGGACTGCCACACAGCGGTAAGGGCCTCCCTGTCCTCTGGTCTCACCCACGCTTTCTTAACTCTCATCTCTGGAGACAGAGCATCCTCCCTTAGAATGTTACTGTGACTTGGTTGTATTAGTGCTTTTTTTTTTTTTTTTTTAAAGTTTAAATAGAAATGAGAACGTATTTCTCTTATTTTTATACATGAAAAAAAATATGCACAGACCCTGCAACCACTCAACCCTTGTTGACTGGTGTATCTTCTACCTGGGGCTGGGCCTGGAGTCGTGGGTGAAGAGATGAGCCCCCAAGACGTCATCTGTGCTTTTTTGATAGTTCCAGTTCTCAAGAAGTCTACCCCGGTCAGGTAGACAGGGGAGGCTCAGAGGAAAGCAACACAATCCTAGAGAGATGATAGACAGATAGACACATTCATGGATCTGTATTCCTTCATTTCCATACACAGAGAGAACAAATATTTGCTTTCTATGTGCTTTTAATATTTTCTGTGTCTCTGTGTATCTTTTCTCCTCCTGTGATTTATGAGAGGCGAGTCTATGTCTCCTCCTTCTCTGTCTCCCCACAGAATTTATCAGAGAAACAATCACTTTTTGCCTTAATACTATAAGTTAGAAAGACTGAGGATTGGTGAGGGTTGGAAGCACTAAYCTGGAATACATGGTTAACGTCAACATTGAACCCAAATGCTTTTTACTGGTCTGGGGCTGGGGCTCTGGGGTGGAGCACTTGCCTSSCACGTGTAAKGCACTGGGGTGAATCATCGGCACCACATAAAATAAATAAATAAAATAAAGAACATGCCACCTTCCTACCTAAAACCAAAGTTTTTTTTTTAACCTTTTATGTGTATATGCTTATGTATCTAATCTCCTGTATAATGTATGTATATACACACATATATACAGATATGTGTGTACATATATACATGATACATATACATTTATATATAAATAAATAATACATATATTTAATATACAAACAACACATATGATATAGTTATAATGACATAGAAAACACACATTATATACATTATATATTATACTATTATAATTCCATATTATAAAAAATGATCAATACTTATTATATATTAATTATGACATAAATAGATTATATATCATGTGTAGTAATTATGTAATATACACATTTTATTTATAATGTCTGATATAATATTTAATGTAAATTCATTGTTTATACATAGATATATGTATAATAACRTATTTAAATATTTTGTGTGTAATTATAATAATATATGATACATTGTAATTATGTATTAAAATATATACTATATTTATCATACATAAAAAGGACTGTGGATATAGCTCAGTGGTAGAGTGCCTYTGGGTTCAATACCCAATACCAAAATACATATGCTATATTTTAATACATAATACATAATGAATTTATAACATGTAAAAACATTTATATTTATAGTATATTATAATTATAAGTATACTTATATATTATTATTTATGTATCATTATTACAATAATATAAATTTTACATGTAATATAATTATACTATACATATAATATGATATAAATGTTCCATACATATGTATAAATTTATTTTGCCTCTGTCTCTTGGGAAGAGCAATGAGGAGTTGAATGGGAAAACAATTTGAAAGAGTAAAAGGCCACGATAATGACTCGCCCTGGGGTGAGCATGCGCTTCCTTGATTCGCTCCCTCACTTCTCCMCGAGCACTGGTTGGTCAGTGCCTCGCACTCCAGTGCACAGGGTACTGAACACCAGAAACAGCCCCTGGGCAGTGAGCCCCCTTTTCTGAGACGACCCTGTGCTTGCAGGGAGTAGACCCTTCCTGTTTTTGCTCCGCAGACCCAGATTTGTCTCCAGTCCCAGAAAGTGTGCGGCTGGTCGGTGGCCCTGGGCCTTGCAAGGGGCGAGTGGAGGTGCAGTATGAGGGCCAGTGGAGCACCGTGTGCAAAACGGGCTGGGACCTCCGGGCTGCGAAGGTGGTGTGCSGGCAACTGGGGTGCGGCAGGGCCCTGCAGACCCACAGCCACTGTAACAAGGCTGCCCAGGGCCAAGGACCCATCTGGGAGAGGGAGATGTTCTGCTCGGGAAGAGAAGCAGCCCTTCAGGATTGCCCCTCTGGGCCTTGGGAGAAGCACAACTGCACGCACGACGAGGACGCGTGGGTGGAATGTGAAGGTAATGGAAGGTGATGCTCGCACATCCAGAGACCAAGGTCGTGGGTGAGGTTAAATGGAATTGCATTCAGCATTATTCTCGAGAACCACTCCTGCACCAGAGGATCCCTGCCAACCTACTGTGCTGTCAATTCTCTTCTTTTAAAATGGCAATTACAATAGCTGCCTTTCAGTGCTGGGCATGGTGATGCACACCTGGAATCCCATCTACCTGAAAGGCTGAGGCAGGAGGATCCCAAGTTCAAGGCTAGCCTGGGCAACTTAGTAAGACCCTGTCTCAAGATAAAAAGTAAGAAGGACTCCAAATGTAGCTCCATTGTAGAGCACTACTGGGTTCAATCCCCAATACCACCCCCCCCACAAAAAAATTTTTTTAAAAAATAACTTCTTTGAATGTGAAATGCTTAAAATGTTTCAAGCAATATTATGTGCTATATTAATATGAACTGTTATCATACTGAATTCCATATGATAGAGCACAGCACATTACTCTGTATCTGTTAAGTTCTTCAATTTTTAAAAACCACCAGAAAGCCATTCATAAATATTAGATTTATAAAATAGGTAGGGGAAGCAAAAAGATCCTAGCTGAAGGAACATACCTGGCCACAGGGGTTGAAAGCTGATGGAGCGGTGGAGAGCAACTGCAGTCACAGAAATACGTGGAGGGTTTCAGATGTGCTGATGGGGTTTGGTTGGGGAGGATGCAGATGATCTTTTTTTTTTTTCTTAATATTTAACTTTTAGTTGTAGCTGGACATAACACCTTTATTTTATTTATTYATTTTTATGTGATGCTGAGGGTCCAACCCAGGGCCTTGCACGTGCTAGGAGAATGCTCTACCGCCGAGCCACCACCCCAACCCATGACCTTATTTTTTTCTCTTTTCCCTTTTTTCTCTCTAATCTCCAACTTCCTCCTCCACCCTGCAGATGCCTTTGACCTGAGGCTGGTAGGAAGAGATAATCAGTGCTCCGGGAGACTGGAAGTGCTGCACAAGGGCGTGTGGGGCTCTGTCTGTGACGACGGCTGGGGAGGAAAGGAGGACCGAGTGGTGTGCAAGCAGCTGGGCTGTGGGGAACCCCTCTCTCTACCCTTCAAAGCCAGGAAAACCTACGGCCCTGGGGTTGGCCGCATCTGGCTGGATGACGTGCGTTGCTCGGGGCAGGAGCAGTCCCTGGAGCAGTGCAAGCACAGGTTTTGGGGGTATCATGACTGTACCCATAAAGAAGATGTGGCTGTGATCTGCTCAGGTAAGTCCTGTAGGGCCGCCGTGGAGGACAATGCAGGAAGAAGGGTTGGTGGGGTGAAGTCTGGGGACAAGGGTGGCTCTGCCTGTGCCCCAGAGCTGCTCATAATCCTTCCTTACTCTGTGGCTATTTCCAGGGATAAGACTGAGGCTTTCTGATATATTTTTTTGGGGGGGTTTTATTTTTATTTTTTTCTAGAGGAATCGGGCTGAGATATAATAAAAAATACAGTCTGAATGTGTCTTGAAAATTATTGGATCAACATCTTTATATTAAGTGTGAACAAAAGTGTGAAAGGATATAAGCCGCTTTTCAAAATCATCAAAATTGTTTTCGAATCACATAGCAGAACCATAACGACCCAGCTTTCCTCTCGATTCAGGGTTAGTTCTCTTCAGTCCTCAAAGGCTAAGTCTGAACCTGGCAGATGCTCCCACCTCATTCTTTTTATTGTTACTCCCCAGATTTTATTTCCAGTGGCCTTGAGGCTATGGGCAAGGGCACTCTGAGAAAGTCCTTAGGACTTTTATTGGAGAGAATAAGACCTGAAACAGACCCCTAAAGGGAGTATGCAGGAGGAAGCCCTGTCCCAACTTGGGTCAGGGGGTCCGAGTGTAGCCTCTGGGTCTCTGGGTGGCTGACTCAAGAGAGTCACAAGTCGGAAGCCCATTTGTGGAATTAAAGAGGGGATCCACTGTGCAGGTCTCTTTGGCTAAGCTACAAAGCTGCAGCTAGGGAAGAGCTGATATTTAACCAAGAAATATGGGGAACAGTTAATGCCTAGGAAAGGACAGATTTAGTGGTAATAGGCCAACGTTTACATCTGCTGCTGCTACTTTGAAATTGTTAAATTTTATGCAGTCACTAAACTACTCTGAACTTCAGTGTTTTCATCTGTAAAATAGACACTGTCCCTCAAAGACTTTTGTGTAAGACATGAACACAGTTGGCCCTCTGTTTCCCTGGCTTCTGCATCTGTGGCTTCAACCAACCGTGAATTGAAAAATGCGTATTTGATGTGTCACCAACTTTATTTCTGGTACACTTTGGCTTTTTATTCCATATTGATGTTCTTTCAAAATAGAATAAAGGATTCAATTACTCTACTGAAAAAAAAAAGAAATCACATCTGTCCTGAACATGCACAGGATTTTCTTATTATTCCCTAAACAAGATAGCATAACAGTTATTTATGTGGCATTTACACTGTGGTAGGTATTATAAGTGACTTAGAGATGAGTTAGAATATATGGGAGGATGTGCTTCAGTTCGATGAAAATTTTTACAATGTCATTTTACATAGGGGTTTAGAGCATCTTTTTTTTTTTTTTTGCTATCCTTGAGGGTCCTAGCACCAATTTTCTGTGGATACAGAGGAACAACTGTACAGTTTGTGCCTCACATGGGAACTGGTTCAATTGGCCCCTGGGACACTACAMCAGATTCTGACCCAGGTGACATCCACCCGTGTGGGATATCCATGTAGTTGAGCTCTTTCCTGTTCTGAGCACCAGTCTGCTTCCTTAGCCAATTTAGCTTGAAGGGAATAATTTCTTGCAGGCCTGTCCCCGCTCCTTACTACATGTTCCTCTTGTCTTTACAGGACAGTATCCCGGCCTTGATGCTTGACCTGGCTCCCACTGGCCCCAGGTGCCCCTGCTTGTCCCCCTGGCCCCTGATTATCCTGGTGGTCACACTGGTCCTCAGTCTCTCGGGAGTCTGAGTGCTGCGGAGACGCCTTGTTCTCGGGGTCAAGCACGCCCGCCCCGCACCTGTTCTGAGATATAGCTGTTGATTTCCCTGCTGGGAAAGATGACCTTCTCTTGGCATTGCTTCTGACCTTGCCTGCCCCTTCCTCACCTGCCTGGAATCCTCAGGCCGGCCGCTCTGACCAAAAGCACAGGCCTTACGAAGGCAAGATCTTCATCTGCTCATGACAGGAACGAAAAAGACAGAGGGAACATTTTAAAGGAAGCGTGTGGAGAAAAATCTTTGGAACTGGGGTGGGGGACGAGACAGAGGCTTTTTGAAATCTTCTTCTCAAGCTTCAGCTGATCATAACAGTAAGCCCACACTTCTCTGCCCGTTCTCGAAGAGGGTAGTTTGCCATTTCAAGAGGGTGGCACAGCAGCGATCTGTAGTCCTGAACCTTTTCATAACGTCAGAAAAAGATATTTCACCTTCTGACGGTTCCCATGAAATACTTCTGTCATCTATCCCAGGACAACCTGCCAACACAGTTGACATTTAACCAAGGGAATCTCAGAAATGCATCCAAAGAAAACTGTGATTGGTTCCTGGGAAAAGGTCAGGAGAGAGGTGGACAGAAGTTGGGGAGAGCTACAGTTGTGTCTCATGCCAATCAGAAAGTACCATTTTCATCTTATTAATGGAGACCTGTAAACCTAAGGTACAGAATGACACTAAGGAGACAATCAAGGTTTAACTGTAAAAATCAGCAACTCTAGACTCAGAGGCTAMGTCCATAGTTATGCTATGCCGAGGATTACACTGCATAATAAATCACATCTTGCAATCTCGACAGTTGCCGTGTTGTGTGATGTGCTCTTTCCGCCAACAGGGAAGCAGGTATCGTGGTGGGACAGGTTACTCAGAACACACACCAAATTGTCCAAATTGAAGAGTCGTTATTTAGCTGGCCAGCCAGAGACTGCCCCCCACAGGACCCATAACTGTCTCTGCAAGGAACAGCCCGAGCCTGAGCATGTTAGGTTATCTAAAGACAAAAACCACATCTGGGTTGACACAGCTGCAAGCAAGCAGGCACAGAAACTGAATTGGGCAGTTAACGAGACAATGCAGTGGGTACCTGGGTATTTCCCACGGGACTTTCCAGGTTGGCACAGCAGCAAGCAAGAGGAAGGGAAGTGGGTCAAAATGACACTAGTTCAGTACRCGTTAGAGAATGGTTACTAACRTCTACACAATCAATCTCTGACAAGGTACATTGCCCAAGAAAAATGAAAACCAAAGAGAAWWYTTWYACMTTGTATAAGAATTGCTCATTTGTGTTGCCAAGTATGTAGTGCTAGGTAACTATTAATGGGTAGAGAGGTGGGGCTTTCCCACAGGAGAAGCATTTCTTACATGGAGTCTGTTTGGTCATTGCCTGTATAGCCTGGCCGATAACAGGTATGTCTTYTATTTTACACAGGATTAGGTAAAAGAGAACCTGCCTGTAAATGCAACCACATGTGTAACATAGCTATCTCCTCTAGGTGGGGAACTTTCTTCCTATTTCTTGCTCTAGCTTGAAACTAAAAGTCAGTTCTGCCACTCTTATACTTTTTTAGAAAAATATTTTATTTTGATGAATGTGTATTAATTGTACTTATTAATGGTCTTCAGTGTGAAATTTCAACACATGCRTGCAACATGCACTGATCAAATCCAACCAACTACTAACAGAGGGTGCAAGAGTCTTCCATATTGGTTGTGGGATCCTATGGCTACTAATGATTCTGGAGAGTGTTTCCACCTCCCAACTTGCTATTCCACTGTAGCTCAAACAGTTACATGAATGGGAAAATAGGTAGAGAAACATCGTTTTTTAAAAGAGAAACAAGCCTTAACAGACATTTTGGGATCTATCCTGTTTCCTCAAACATACTTTGCCTTTAAACGATCAGCTCTCACAAGTCTTCCTGATTTTCCCTATAGACTAAGATTCTGTACCTYTAATCCATGGCCGAGCTAAACTGCCTTGATTGAGTCATTGTGTTAGGCCAGATTTGTGGGACCCCAATAGACCTCCAGGAGCCAAATCCGATGCAAGCACACAAGAGTCTTTATTGCAAGCTCGAGCGTGGACTCACAACCATTCCCGATGCAGCGGTCCCAGGGAGTGAGTACCGGTCCTTTGTTCAGTGAGATTTTATAGGTTTTTTTTGGGATACTCTATGCCTCACAACATCACACAGCAAATCATTCCATACCACAGGAAAATCAAACAACAACACTTAACATTGATTAGCACATTCACTGGTGGGAACAAGTTGGGTAGGGGTGATTGGTTACTACAAGAGGGGGATTCGTTTGAACTGATTGGTTTAGGCCACGAGGGGTGTACATGCTGAACTACATGGTTTCCCAACATGTTATCGACCATCATAAACTACTGGGGATCATCTGGCATCCCAGGTATTTCCCTGTCTCATGCTGATTGGTGGTTGCTAGGGGGTTGCTATGGGTCCTCACCTAGCCTGAGTCAGGGACACCTGGCGCAGCAGATCTCTCCTGTTATTTACAGACAAACAACTCAGCAGGGTGGGTATGTGCCTAGGAGTGCTCTGTGGGTCTTTCCCAGGACAAGGGTCACGCCCCCTTCCTTAGGACAGGCCTTGAGGTAGAAGCTGCTGTTATTTATTTATTTTTTAAAATAGAGTCACATCAGTTTCTCAATTGAAAAGTCCCTTTATGCTTAGTAGAGCAGAATAGGGTTAGAATTTCACAAAAATAACTTTGGTTTCTCCCTAATTTCTACAATAAAATTGGTTTTGTAGAATTCCAACCCAGTAAGACTCCTGGGAACCAACTTTAAAAATGCTTGTGCCAGAGACAGAGTGTTTTAGTCAGTTTTTTTTTTCTTCCCCACTGCTATGACCAAAAGACCTGACAAGAACAATTTTAAAGGAGGGAAAATTTATTTGGGGCTCTTGGTTTCAGAGGTCTCAGTCCACAGATGGCCAACTCCATTCCTCAGGGCCCAAGAGGAGGCAGAACATCATGGTGGAAGACTGTGATGGAGGAAAGCCACTGGGAACATGGGAGAGAGAGAGAGAGAGAGAGAGAGAGAGAGAGAGAGAGAGAGAGAGACTCCTCTTATCATGCACAAAATAAATACCCCAAAGTAACCCCCAATGACCCACCCCCTCCAGCCCCACTCTAGCTGCTTACAGTTATCACCCAGTTAATCCCTATCAGGGGATCACTGCACTGACCAGGTTCAAACTCTCATAACCCAATCATTTCACCTAKAAACTTTCTTGCCATGTCTCACCCACGAGCTTCTGGGGCCACCTCGTATCTAAACAACAACACAGAGCGATTCCCACACTGAAAGCAAGATCTGAGGAAGCCTRACAGAGGATTAGAAAGTCTAATAAGAATTTATCATCCTTGGCGGAGGCTTCCCTTCACCGTGAACTCCCTCCCTGCCTGCTGACTGACTGGAGAGAATCCCAGGTCCACACGAGGGAGGCTGAGTCCAACCGCGGAGGAGGCTCAACTCTGAATGGGAGGGTAGAACAGAGTCTCTCACCCAAACTCAGCCAACTGCGACACTAATAGGAAATAGACGTGTTTGTCTTAGAGCACTCAGAGATCAGGATGGTGTATTTCCAGAACGTGTAGCAGGAGGAACGCAGGAAGATTGTTTGAAGAAATCAATTGCACTGCTTCAAGGCTCACTCAAGTCTTTCTGGTTATCACTTGGCTTTCTTAAAAACCTCTAAACATATTTTCCGTGCTAATCAGGACATGTGAGATTGTTCCTGAYTATATTTTCACTATTAATTAGCTATATTTTGGATGCTTATTTTTAATAGTATACTAAGACTTTTTTTCCACTAAAAACTATCCCAAGTATGTCCATGGAGAGAGAGCTTCACAAACATCTTTAAACAATACAGTCCTTCCTCCCGGTGACAGTTAATTGGAACATCTGTCCCAAGCTGGATCAAATAGTCCTTTCCAGGAACTGGGAACTGTGACCAAAAGTACATTAGTTTCTCCAAGTGGCTGATTGTCTAAGTCAGCCTAAGACCTGGAGGAAGCACATACCACATGGATCAGAGAACCAGAGGAAGTCCTTTCACAGAGATAAATAATAGTGAAATGTGTACAGAGAGCAGCATACATTAGACACAGACATCCTGGACAGCATTTTCCATTTCTTTTCTTTTCCTGGGCTCCGACAGCATTCCTGGCATTAGGTTCTGTGACAGACTGCTGGGAGTTCATCATCATTTTTAAAATGTTTTGGTTGAGTTCATCTTATGTTGGTTTTTGTGCTTCCAACCAAAAGAACCACAGACAGTTTTTTTATTTTTAAGTTAATAAAGAGATAATTCATCCATCTTTTACAAGGTTGATTGTATCAGCTCAATTATGAATAATAAATAAATTTCCTTTGCATTCATAAAATCATATTTATGGAACTGAGAACCCAGGAAACAGCCTACAACAGAGGTACCACTTAGAGATACTGCTCTTGAGTGCCCCTGGCTGGATGAATGTCCAATCTATTTGTTCTACATAAGTGGAATTTAAAGCTCATCACCTCCATATTAAAAAAATAGATTAATTAGAGATCCAATGAAGGTGGGGTATAGAAAATAGACAACTCAGAAGTGACATGTTTTCTGCCTATTTTATGTTGAAAAGGCTCTCTCTCTCTCTCTTTTTTTTTTAGTGAGAGAGAATTTTTTTAATATCTATTTTTCAGTTTTCGGTGGACACAACATCTTTTTATTCTTTTTTATGTGGTGCTGAGGATAGAACCTAGAGCTCYGCTCATGCCAGGTGAGCGCGTTACCGCTTGAGCCACATCTCCAGCTCCAAAAAGGCTCTCTTAAATTTTACTATCTGGTGAAATTTTAATCATTTTTGATGATTAGAAGTYGTAGTAATCCAAATCAGGCAATTAGAACTTGTTGTAATTTAAATCAGGTTACAMAACCTTGCTTAAATCCCTTTGAGAGCTTCCTATTGTGCATAAGTTAAATGGAAATGTCTCATTCTGGCTTAAGAGGCTTGGCATGACCTGGCCCCCACCTACTCCCCCAATCTTATCTCATACAAGCATGCCTTATTTTACTTTATTTACTTGCTTTGCCTTACTGTGTTTCCCAGATATTGTTTTATTTATTTCTTTTCACAGATTGAAGATTTGTGGCAACTCTGCATTAAACAAGTCCGTTGTCACCATTTTCCCAACAGCTCAGATGATCGTTAGCATTTTGTGGCAATAAAGCATTTTTTATTAAGGCACATCCATTGCTTTTTAGACATACTTGCTATTGCATACTTAATAGACTACAGTATAGTGGGGACATAATTTTTATATGTACTGGGAAACCAAAAAATTCACTACTCAATTTATTATATATATATATATTTTTATTACTGTGATCTGAAACTCCAATTCTCAATATCTCCAAACTATGTCTCCCCTATCAGCTCATTCCAACCACATGGGTTTTCTCTCCCTTCCTAAGACACATCAAACTTACTGACCTGTGGTAAATCTTCCAGAAGAACAGGTTTTGGGCAGAGCAACTATCAGAAGCTCTATTTGAACATACTGAGTCTGATACATCCTGAATCTCYATGTGAAGATATTCTATTAAAAGTTTAAGGGAAGCTGGGCACTGTGGTRCACACTTATGATCCCAGTGTCTCGGGAGGCTGAGGCAGGAGGATCACGAGTTCAAAGCCAGCTCAGCAATGGC